GAAGAAGTGCAATAGAAGTCTACCTATAAAATATTTTCAATTTGTTCTGTTCATGCGTTGCCTTTCACACCCAAATAGACACATAGGACTAAATCTGTAATATTGTTGTGTAGTAAATACGAGGTCCAATCCGAACGTGAAACATGGAATACGATTGCTTACTAACCTAATAAAAATTTACAGAAAATCCCGCATTTCATGATATAAAGCGTCTCAAACAAGTTACTTAGCACCGCTTTTCCATTTGTGCCGTATACAATTAGAAGTTTGATTATTATACTACACATCAAGGCTTTCATTTGTTAAAATATGCATTGTCGGCCAGGTCCATTTTGTTCCTGAAGCAGCGATGTTTTACACTTTCAGACACAGTTACTTTGCGAATGTAATTGTGAAAGCCGAAACTCGAATTCCCTGTCTTTGAACGCAAAGTTTAAAGCTTTATACTTGGCGAAATCCATCGAGCAATACATCAAAATAACGCTCAGAAACAGCGCTTTCATATACAGTGCATTTTGCGACAAGGCGATGTTACTGATCAGCGTACAATGCGTTTGCATATTTACTTCCTGTCTCGTTACCATGTCAACAACTGCGACGAAACATCGTGAACACCGAATCGCGCAATATAGCGGGAAATTAGAATTCTACTCAAGACTTCTCTCCTAAGACAGTGACATGCAAATATAATGCTAATTTATGGCAAACGCCCTCAGTGTTTATTCTAATTCAAAATTTAAAAGTGAAATAGTTGTTGATAGCAAGCATTGCCCAAATTTGATTAAAAAATCCGATGTAGATATCGAAGTCGAAGACGAACAAATTGCCTTTACTGTTCATATACCGTTCAAACAGCTTAGCAGTTGGTACAATATAAAGAAATCAACATTAGCTGACTATACATACATACAAATACTGAACGCATTTATTGGCAAACAGTACGCTCTACAAATTCAGGAGAACTGTATAAGGATTGAAGAACGTCTGCGAGTAAACTGTACAAAGGTAGCAAAACAGCATTATCGTATACATGGGGGAAGTCGGCAAAAGCTGTTTACAAAACGTAAGAGTGTTGCGGTATTTCGTAGTGAACTTAGTACTGTTGCCTTGGTAAATGATTTAGAGGACGAAGTTTCGAAACTTCAACGGGTAAATGAGTCGATTACTAGGGAAAATAATATATTAAGCATAAAATGTAAAGAGGCATCCACACTGGTGGATCGATTCCAAAAGAAGATCGTCAAGGCCACTGTTGACATTGAGAAATTGAAAACGGAGAATGGCAAATTGTACAATGCAATCGAGAAACTTACTGTACAAAAAAGATTTGAAAATAAGGGAATGACACTCTTGGAAGTTGGGAAGCGCCAGCAAGAACACAAGCTTCAAACGTTAGCTACTAGAACGGAGCAAGCGCTTTGGTTCATTGCATCTTTTGGGCTTCATTTGAAGAGTGTAAAATTGGTTGACGATTTGGGAAAAGAACATGGTTTAACAATTGCGTCAGAAAAGCAATCAAAATCCTTTAATGAACTTCCAAAGAACAGGTGGAAATTCAGCAGGTGTTGCACATTATGGACAAATTTTGTATTGGGGAAGCAGCATACCACGAATTAACTTGTTGTCCAGGAGGAGAAGAACTTCCTAGGTCCTACCTGATTAAGCAATGCAAAGAGGATCTAAATAAGCTCTCTTGTATTGAAAGGACCCCTGGGGAAGCAAATGGGGCTGCTTTTAATTTCCAGGACGAATTATGCACTGTTATTGAAAAAATGGTAAGTTTTCAACTGTAATCCACAACGTTGCTCTATTTTGAATGAATATATTCAGGGCAATTAATTATAACTGCATAGTCGAGACAAGAAGAGGGCATTGCAAACTCAGGCTGGCTATATAACTGCCTATAGTTTTAAGATAATGGTTAAGAAATTTTGTCATATGCCACATGTATTTTAATTCTCAGATGGAGGCAAATGAGAAACTAAGAGACACTGTAATAAAAGTAAAAATCAGTGGTGATGGGGCAAAGATGACTAGATTGACCAATTTTATAATCATCAGCTTTTCAATATTGAATGCCGAAGATACTGTGATGTCATCAAAAGGTATTATTTGCTGGACAATTTTGTGAACTTTGTCTTTAGTATATAATAGGCTACTGTTTTCCTTGTAATTATCATGTAGGGAATCATACAGTGGCTGTTGTTAAGGGTCATGAGGACTATGATCTTTCAAAGATATCATGTTCAAAGATTTTTAATGACATCAACAAGTTGGTAAGGGCAGGGAAAATTAAAATCAAGAATAAAAATGTACCTATTGAAATATTTGTTGGAGGTGATTACAAGGTAATATTTGCATAGATAACAATTTGCCACTGTGCTTGGGTACTGATCTGAGCACATGCAGTACCTCAGTAAGCAAGCATATGAAAGAATACCTAATAACAGGACCATTCTTAAAAAGTTCATTGTACTATTTGGTTTAATGATGACAGCAGTTTTTCAACTCATTTTATTTTTTATATCAATATTTTTAAATCCATATTACATACATATACATAACATGTATATTTCTCTTTTAGTTTCTGTTGTTGATACTGGGTTTCAAAGGGGCCACCTCAGATTATGCTTGTATTTGGTGTAAAATACACAAATTGTTGAGGTATGTACAAATAAATGCATGGTATTGGAACAGTAGGAAATTAGACTTAATAATATCTGTCTGCACTAATGCTTCTGTGAATCAAAATCATAGTGTTTAAATACATCATTCTAATTCAAATATCAATAAATAAATAGCTGTAAATTATTCAGATTCACAAAAGCATTATAATCTGATTTTAGATGGGACATGTCTAAACCAATGGATTTCTGGGAAAATCATGACTGTCGCTCACTCAAGGACATACAAGACTGTGCCGTAAAGAATCGGTTTTCATGCCAACACAAGCCATTACTTGAAGTGAAACTTGAAAATGTAGTATTAGATGAAATACATTTAATGCTTCGCATTACAGGTGAGTATGATTTGTTCAATCAATTAAGCAACAGCAAATAATAAAGTTAAGTGGAGTGCACCAAGGTGCATTGCAACTCAACTGGTTACCTATAGACACAGGCATTTAGGCCAGTTGACCCATGAATGGCCAGTTTACACTCCTTTGCAAGTAAAATCATGTAGTAATTAAATTAGAACACATATAGTTACAAATTACAATTAATGCACACATATATAATAGTTACAAATTACAGGCCAGCTATACACAGCCATCCGAGTCAGAAGCACAGGGATCAGTGTCTGCACGGCTCGCTTCCATTTCTTCCAGAGACCACTTGGTCTTCTTTTTGCCGGAACTGGGCTTGCGCTTTCTTTTATTTTTATTTTTACTCTTTTTTTTGTTGGTTCATTTTGTTGCAACTCTTGCTCCAACTTTCGCTTAGCCTTCGTCGTTCTTGCCCTTGAGCAACAGGGCGCGCAAAGGAATCGACTTGCTGTGGCAATGGCTTCTCTTTGACTTTGTCTAAAGTTTGCCATTAATAAAGTTATGATCGAGATATGCGGTTTTGGAACTAGATGCCAATATGCACGAATCTACATACCTTCACCTTGGTCACGTTTATCGTGCATATTAGATATAATCACATTTTACTTGATTATTAAAATTTTTTAGATATCTTGACAAAGAGTTTAGTTAATGAAGCTCTTGAATGGGACTTTAAAGACAACAGCAATAAACCACCAAAGATAGAACAAGTAAACATCTGTCAGACCTTGTTGAGTGTATCCAGTCGTGTGGCGTGTCTTTCAATGTTTGGGAGAAAAGGAATGCTGATGGAAAGGGAAGTGGTGTACACGACTTTACCAGCCTTATGGGATCGGACAAGAAACGGCTCATGAGAGATCTCCCAGATAAATTATGTACAGTAACTAAACCAGCCCACAGTGAGTCAGTCACTAAGATCTGGAAGGTAATATCCCAATGCACATCGATTTTAATTACGCGAGCAGCAAAAGTAAAACACCTGACCAACTCCTTTAATTTTAGGACTTAAATACGATTTATCAAATGCTGAATGAGCATGATCCCACACCTGAAAGAATTAATGAGTTCTTTGAACGTGTAAGTGGCACCGCTAAGACTAAGTACTCCAACATGTATTTATAGCGCTTAACTACTAGTATAACAAGAAATACCTTTTAAGCTGTATCAGACTGAAATTGCTAAATTGTAATTTGTGTTCCTATTTGACAATCCAGTCCCATTGTTTTATTCACTTAGGCTAAAGCATGGGTAAATCTATTTGTTTCGCTTGGCGGGGAAGTCAACGGGTTTGGCAAACAGCAAGTTACTCCTTACATGCACTGTCTGGTATACCACGTTCCAAACTTCATGCAGAGACACAACGGCATAAAAAAGTTTACGGGACAAGGTAATATCAGAGTATAAGTAAGAATTGTACATGCGTATGCTGATAAGCACTTACAACAGTAAATTTTGTACTATATATTTTTCTTTACATATCCAGGAGTGGAAAAGAATAATGACGATGTGAGAAAATTTCATCTGACAAAGTCAAACAAGAGGGATGCTCCGAAAGATATCCTACTTGTTACTAAACGACTGCAGATAACTGGCCAACATGAGCGCATGCATAGACCGTACAGCAAGTCAAACGCTGAGTACTGGTCGACTGAAATTAAAGAAAGCAGAAGAAAAAGAAGAAAGCTGTCACCTGTCCCGAATGCTGAAATACCAGAGAGCACTTCCAAAAGCGTCATTGATATCGAAAATCTTTCCGTTGTTGAAATTAAGGAGAAACTGAAGGAATTAGGAGTGCAAACACGAGTACGAAAACTGGAGAAATTACAGGATATTTTGAAGCAAGCACTCCACAAAAACTAAATTAAGTTCTAAAGTGAAGCTGAAATATTCATCATGTTATTATAAGTTATTATTATTCTGTTAAAATTATTATGTATTTATGTTATGTACTGAACCTATATACAATAATTTTTTTCATTACAAGGTACCCGAGCAAAGGAAACACTTATTTTTTCAATTGGAAACCTTTTTCCTGGTACAATTTTCTTTCCATCGAAGACATACTTCTTTGATGACCAACCAATTATGGGTTTGATCTTCATGGGAAAATCAACTTTCTTCCCCTCCCCATGTTGATTAAAATAATACCACCAGTCAGGAGGTAGCATTGGAAGGCGACTAAAATCACTCTTATTATAAAGAACATGTCCCCTATGTTCTGATGGTGTTCCTTTCCCTTGGGTGATGTATCGCCAACAATCAAGCTCAAGGTCAATGTATCCACTACCCATTGCCTTTGATTTTAATAGGTGCAGAATACCACAAGCAAATGCTCTAGCAGTTGATTCTAGTCTGCTGGAAGATGGTTTTGGCGGACGATCATAACTCCTTAAAAAAATATAACAGAATAAATTAGCTCACATATATATCATGAGAAGTAGATTTTTCAGAAGCATGTTGAGTTGAGTTGCACCAATGCATCAATGCAATCTAAAAAATATAACATAATAAATTAGTTCACATATATATCATGAGAAGTAGATTTTTCAGAAGCATGTTGAGTTGAGTTGCACCAATGCATCAATGCAACCTTCTTTAATATTTACTCAGATAATTTTACTTGTATGGCATAATGGTTTAATCCATTTAGTCACATTGCAGCTCATGATGCACCCTACTTATAGCATTTTACTCTGTTGAATGCCTGAGTATTTTACTATGTCTAATGCCAGACAATTTTACCTAGCAAGGGGAAAGCGTTGGTAATTGGTTAAGTTGCATGTCTGCATGCTAATGTGTGTAGTTTATCCATTAAGTTAAAATGCGCCCAGATGCTCCTTACTTTAGTATTTTACCCTGTCTAATGCCAGAGTATTTCATTTTTTCTAACACTAGATAATTTTACTAATCAAGGATGAAGAGCTAGTGTCAGTGTTATATTTACCTTAATAAGCTCTCAGGTAAATGAGCAGAAGGCTCCCAAGTACACGCATCTAGAGGCCATCCAGCCCACTTAATAAGATATGAATAGTCTTAATATAATAAAATCAACAATAATAATCAGGGACTGGTATATCACATATTATTTAATGAATTAAAATATATAACCTTCAGTACATACAGCAGGCCAAATTGTAAGTAGAAATTCTGAGATTGTATTATTTAATTTTGTATAGTTTATAGTTGTAGTGTATAATCTATAGTTCTAGTGCATAGTCTATAGTTGTAGGGTACGAATTCAGGCTTTGTTAAATAGTTTGTTTTGCTAGTTCGGGCTAGTTCGGTTTAATACTTACGTGTTTTTCTTTCTGCCAATTATTCTTTCCACCTCATATGTCTTTCCCTTCTTCTTTCGGGGCGCAGAATTATCGTACAAAACAACAGAGCTAAAGTTGTCTAATTGCGCGTAGTCAACACGCGTAGCCTGACGCTTGGTCGCCGCCATTTTTAAATTTACCGCGGTTAACCGCTGACGAAGAATTGGCTCAATATCGCGAATTTCTGGCCATGGGAAATTTTATCTAGCAACGTATATATAGAGCGGATATAGACAGGGTGACACGCATTTCCTCTTTTTTGAGGTGAAACAGAGAATGTAGTTGTAACATGAGTTTTTTTTTCTGTCGTGAACCATCTCGAATCGCAACATGATTTTGAAACAACAGTTTGGAAACGTATTTCTCATTATTAAATGTGCTTTTATGTCTGTCATCTTGCGCGAGTAATCTTTGTATTATTTCCTCACATGTCGCCCCATGGGTGTTGCATTTCCGCAGCTCGTTACTGGGCATTTTCCCGCGGTCTTAATTAAGATTGAAAAAACCAAACACGAGTTTGGGATATTTTGAGCTAGGGGTTACAATTACCCCTAGCCATTTTATTAATAAAATGACGTAATATTTTTTAACTTTAACAGAACTGATTAACTATATAACTTTACATATTTTTCATCACATTGTTTTGCCCAGTAAGGTGAGGGTAAAATTTACAAATAACGCCCCGAATACCAGCACAACCAGGTTCATGGATGCAGGCATGGGGAGGAGGTGGGATGTATGAAATTCTTTCAGAATAGTTTTTAACTTGCCTCGCCAGCTGACTTTAATCTAATTGTTCCATCTGTTAAATTATTGGCCTACAGCTAAAGTTTTATCTCTTCAGAGCAGATATCCTCCACCCCTTTGGCAGAGTTGCCCATTATGATAATGAAACAAGATGACAGATATAAAATTCCTATTCGCAGGCAAATATTATATTTATTGGAACATGATAAATTGAAAATAAGAATAATCTACAAGATGTGAATGACAATTATTAAACTAATGGCACGGCTCCAATTGCTACTGGCACGGCTTCTGATTTTTCGGGCAGTCTTTTATCTTTTTGTGCCCTTTCATCAGGTTCTTGCAAACTGCACATCTCGGAGGCGCTCTTTTAGCTGATTTAGCAATTCTTGCAGCCTCTTCTTGTGCAAGAACTACTGAGACTAAAAAAATATACTAATTACAAATAAATTTACTTTCCTATATAATGAATAGTGTTTTCAATGCACCTACTTGGTGTTGTTGATGGTACGTTTTCAACAACAAGGCTCCTTCTAGCCTTTTGTTTTTCAACAGCCACCTCTCTCTCTTTATTTTTCGAACATGGTGTTCATCGGCTCTGGTGTCATGGCATTTAGAGAACATTTCATTTTTTTATTTTGTTGGCAAGCCTTAGAGAAGGGATACAAGTGAAGATGACTTCAGAGAGACACAGAAGAAGTTGTATATTTCGGAATTGTGACGAGGTCAATTTTTTCCGAAACCAAGTGCGGTTTTTTACCAGACAGTTTAGAGAACATCTCTGTAAAGTCCTCTTTAGCAAAATGTTAAGAACAAATACTAGAGTTCTGTGTTGGATTCTATTTTGCCTGCTTTATGCGCACAAAGTTTGCGTCTTTTTCTTGCTTTAGGCCTTTGGTCTCCAGCAAAAGGTATAAAATGAAGCGAATTGCCCCTTTCTTTATCATTGACATTCGAACAACTCAAATCTCTTGCGCTGTTTGATTCTAGTCAAACCGTGCCAGTCTCTTTTCCATGGTTTTACGATTTTCCGGTTTGCAAAATTCGATGTTTAGATGGCAGTAACTTCAAAACTAAAGATGCAAATTCAAATCTATTTCAGAACTTACTAACTCATTTCAACCATAGATTTAAAAAAATTAAATTCCAATTTTATGACATGGCACTTAAATATACACACCTGACTCTTTGCATTATCACTGCATGTCCTTTTTAGTTCACGGGCTTGTTCATCAGTGGCGTTGGTTTTCATTTTGTTGGCAAGCCTTAGAGAAGGGATACAAGTGAAGATGACTTCAGAGAGGCACAATGGTCTGTTTTGATGAGCCTAAGTAAACTGAAGGTTCTCTGAACTGCTGCATTTGAAAATAGGAAAGGTACCATAAACTTCAGCAGCACTGGGTATTTTAGCTCTCCTGTTGGTCGTTTGGAACCCTTTATGTTCCAGTGTTCATCCTAGTGAAGATCTGCCTTGATTTTGTTTTCAAGGCTATGTTCTCTTCATTCTAAAACGAGCTGATTAAGCCGAAACTCTTCCAAATATGGAAGCTTCCTCACAATATTAAAAGTGATAATGGGATGGGAGCACCTTTTTTATTCTGTGAAATGCAATTAACCATGCTGACTAGTTCAGAATCTGAATCAAATCTGTTTTGAATTTGAACAACGGACTATACGAAAGTTTTTGTAGTCATTTCTGTGCAGCCCCAGCATCAACCTCATATCCAGAGTGGCATTTGCAGGACAAAGAGTTGGATATTTGTTGGATCAATGGATTTCACAGCACTGTCCTTGACATACGGAATATTTAAGAAATCGCTTGAAATTGACTTTACGAGACCTTCAATTTCACCTTTTAGGTATTGCAATAAGGGTCTCTCACTTTGAAAAAGGCAATTAAGGTCATTTAACCACCAAGGTTGGAGGGCAGGAAATTCTAAATAAGCCAAAGTGAGCTAAAGAAAACACCTGCTTCACAGGAGAGTAGATTCTATGAGCAGTCCCATCAACAATTTCCACCATGTCCAGCATGTAGTACTTTGATGCAAAGGTTTTAATGTCAAGTAAGTAACCAATACAGCAAGTTGTTCCAAGGTGCTCATATCAGTTGTTTCATCAATAATTATGCTAAATTTTTGTTCTCACTCAGCTTTTCCAAAATGAAATCTATAATATATGGGATAAAGTAAACCTAGTTATAATGAAACATCCAAAAATTTCATTTGTCGATGCATCTGTAGAAGGACAGGAAGTCAAACTAAGAAAGGTTTTGGTAACTTTTTTACTTTTTTATGTATGTGGGCCAGGTTTTCATTACTAATTAGTTTAACAAACCAGAAAACATGATAAACCAATGGCACAAATTTTGCATTTCTCAATTGGTGGTTCTAAGATGAAGGAGTCAACAATTGATGCACATGAAATGGTAAGTGTGTAGTTTTTTATATAAGTTTGATAGCATACAGGGAATTACAGAATATGACTACATATGAAATGTAACTGATCATTCAAAAATTCTCATTCATACCTAGACATCTGATATAGAGGAAATTGATAAATAAGATCCTTTCTCAGATTTCATAATTAGTCCTGAGAAAATAGCATGCTTGGTCAGTGCCAAAGTCCCAGATGGAACAAATGAAGAATGTGAAGCCCCTTGCAAAGGCCTTATGGGAATATGGTACCACATATCTAGTTTCAGCAAGTGTTATTAAAGGGATACTCCACTAAAAATGAAGTAGCCTTTTCAAGGAGAAAGTCGAAGTCACAAGTCAAATTTAAACTCTAGTAACACTTAGTTTCTACAGTTTTATTACATAGAGTTTGTGTGATAGCAAAAGTGATGAAGACCAACCTGACCTGCAACAAACTAGATAGAACCTTATCAGGGATTCAAAGACGTGCTGTCACACCCACTAAAACTCAAAGACCAGTTGTTACTAGCCCCATTCTTGGAAAACCCAGTATCTCCTCTGAAACTAATTCACGATCAATATGGTTATAAGTAAGCATTTACTGTTGTTGTACAATAAATTATGTCACAAAAATTATTTTGACACAATAGCTTTTCAAAAAGAATTTCATCAATTCTCTAAATCATCATTATTGCCATTAACAAGTCAGGAAAAATATAAAATTGTTAATCACTTTGTAAATCATGGTAATAATGCACATGTATATTCAACATGTTTCTGCACTTATTTGTTTACACAGCTCATATGTATGAGCAGATAAGGATGAAACAACTGTAATGATAAGTTCCGATGAAGAGGAGCTAATGCAATCTCAAGGCCAAGAGCAAGGGTATTATTGAGTATCAGTCAAGTTTTAAAATTTACACATATATAGCAATGTAGAATATTGAAGCTGGGGTTGATGACACAAAGACACAGCAATTTGGTTGGTACTATACATATCGAACTAACATACATGACGTCATAAAATTTTCAATAACCCTAACCCTAACCGTAATTAAGGTAAAGCCAGAGATACTATTACATAAGTATATGATTACTCCTATACTGGGTAATGGGTATGAGGGTAACAGACATTTACACTTTCGTGTACATTTATAAATGTATAAATTTATAAATGTATACATTTATAAATGTATAAATGTATCATCATTCATCGCCATTTTTATTTTATCATTTTTATGAACCAGCTTTAGAAAGACTTCATGTAAGACTTCTGTTATTGCAAAATTTATGACGTCATGTACGTTAGCTCGATATAATCTAACGCCAACCCAGCAATTTCCCATAAAAAAATAACATGTGACAGTGAGATAATTTGTGTTTTAGGTTTTTCAACCATGTGAAATTGACTATTGTTTTCAAATCAACAACTCTATGTTACGACGTCAGAACGTTGATTAACACACTCTCTCGTGATGATAATCTGTCTGCTTATTGATTGGTTTGACTAATTATGTCCTTCATCTTAGGACCAGTCCTGACTTACTTATGTTAGGAGCAATTCTTATGAGGTTAAGAAATGATAATGTTGACGAACACAGTCACAGGCGGTCATTAATTAATGTACGAAGGAAGCACGTTTACGAAGATGCCAGTCAAACAACATTAAGAAAAAAGTTCGACCCAAAGGCTATTTGGGTAAAATTTGTGGATAATGATGGTAACAGCAAGGGAGGGATCAACGCTGGTGGACCTCGAAGAGAGTTTCTCCAACTGCTCATCAAAGCTGCTAATGAGCATGCTGGGCTATCTTATGGCAAGCTGGATCAGCGTCCTTTTTCCAAATGCGAAAGGTATGAGAAATTGCAAACAAGTCTGGTCCAAAAAGAGAGCAAATTGTTCGAAATTGCTCAAAATTAGTTATATGTTTTCTATTTATGCTATTGCAGCACGTGAAAAAGGCC